CAAGCGCATCGTCAGTTAAATGGGTAAAATTTTCTGTCACCACCTAGTTGATGGTAGTCCAATGTTGTGAAATAAGCCAATGAATTGTTGTCTCTTTTGTTTTTCTGGATAGGCTGAGGTTTCTTGGCAAGGTCTTATCCGTGGAGAGAGCTAGTAAGCTAAATGAGGATAGTAAATTTAAACAAAGTGAGGCTCAACAAGGAAAGGATTCTGTACTACCAACATCTTTGATGAAGGATGCTTCTGTGACTAGAGATGTCATTGAAGGTTCAAATTTTGGGTCCTTACCTGCTAGTGAACCAATTGCACCAAGGCTTGGTGTTGACTATCCATTTCCTCCTCACTTGGAGTATGTCGACCTTTCTGTTCTTCCTAAAGTTTCTTATTTGATTAATATTTTTGTGTCAACGTTGGAAAGCAGTGCCCTCTCTGTGAATGCCATGGATTTTCTTGTGATGGTAGACATTAATGGCACGTTATTTGAGGCATGCTTCTTCCTTTTTTGGTGTCCATTGTCCACATGCTTAATGTTAATTTCAGTTCAATGCGGCGCCAGGTCATAGGAACTGGCCTTTGATAGCACTGGTTGGTCTCTAATTAAGTATGACAGTAAAATTTTGGAAACTGATTATAGCTTCAAACAATTAACTATAGAGCAACAAAACATCCTCGTTATCCTTTGTTATCATGGTATGCTGCTAGAATTGCCTAGATTTGATCATGTTTTGTTTGTACAGGTATGCTTACCCTCCACCAGATGGAAACATTCTGACCAACATTGTAAATGCTCTTATTGCTGTTCCTCGCTTCTATACACAGGTTGCCCCCAAAATCTTCAAATTTATGGAAAAATTTACAAAATCATCTTCTTTGTCTCTAGTATTTACATTTTATTGTGTTTTTTATTCTAGTCATCTTCAAGCATGGTGGAGTAGTGTCGTTAACAACTTAGTTTTCTATCACAGGTGTTGCATTTGATGAACAAAATGAATATTCCAGCTCCATTTCGAATGGCCCTGCCCACTCCACCTCTACCACTGCCACAATCCCCTCCTCCACCACCACCTCCTCCTCCTTGTTTAACTGAAAATTCTCCGCTGGCAGAGCAATCTAGTAGCGAGTCGGAAATGGAGTCTTCAGATGAGGTATATTGCTGCTATTTCCAAGTCTTGATTTATACATAATGTTTGTGTGTTCACTAATGTCATACATGTACAAAACCAAGCGGGCTTCGAATATAAAATTAGAACCGAACTATGATTGCTCCTCATTTGCCATTATTTAATATCAGAAGGTACATGATGTTATTTTCTTACTTCTTTTATCAAGGAATGTTGTATTTTTTGTTGCTTCAAATTCTTTTTGTGTTTTCTTGGTAGAGCAGTTTGGGATGATTTTTCCTACTGTTTTTCTAATTACCACTAATAATTTCAATAGTAATGCTTTGGGACTAAATGTTTGTAGGAGGTTGATGATAAAGCCCCTTTTGGAGCCTCAGGAGCTGTTAAACAAAGAAGAAAACACTTTAAACGGAAAGCAATTGTAGGACCTGCAGTTGATAAAGATGTGGTTCATGAGTCTGTTGGGTTGAAACCTGCCTCCTTGGTCCCAAAAGAAATTCCAATTATAAAGAAAAAGAATACCGTGCTGCAGGTCATTTTTTGCATAATAGAAATTGTTGTTGGCTTATCTGATTACTCTTGGAGATATTCATGTTATTCTATTGTTTCATTGCAGATTAAGATCGCACCAAAAGTAACTCACAATGAATATAAGGATGATAGCATTATGACAGAATCTGAGGACCCAGGCACAGAGGGTTCAGATCAGAAACACTATGCAACTGCAGAAGAAATAGAGAGTAAAAGGCTCGCTCCAGAGGAAATTTTATCACTTCCAAAGTTTAAGGTGCCCATTCTGCAAGGAATAAATATAGTTTTCCTAATTGTTGAGTCTAATCCATGTTCAGTTTGAAATTTTTGTTTGCGTGTTTGGCTGAAAGTAACTTTTATGGATTGCAAAGGATATACCCAGTTGCATAAGCTGTCTTAAATTTTGCAGAACTACACAGTTGGGAATCCTGCATCTGTTCTGTACATAAAGAACCTTGACAAAGAGGTGGTTGCTGATGATTTCTTCTACATATTTGGTGAGCTGGCAAACCTTGATACTTGCTACTCCCCAAAATTTTGGGTCTTTCTTCTAAAGTCTCTCTGTATAATTCAATGTGTTTAGTGCCAAATATTCATATTGTAGGAGATGGTTTTAGTGTTTGATACTAGGTGCTGGAATTTTTGCAGCTTATTCTTTGTGTGCATTTTGTCTCACATTTGCCCTTTGTTACTACAAAGACAGTACCTGCTTAATATATGTTGTTCGTAATTTGATGTAGGATCGCTATTTGGAAGCATTGATGCAGCTAAAAGTGGCCTCAGTGTCAAGTTGATGCAGGTGAGGTTCTTTAATAGTCTTAATTTCTGCATAAAGCACAGCATGGATGTTTAAGTTTAACCTACAAAGAAGAAATGATTGCTCATGCCAGGTTTTAGTTCATGTGATACAAATTCCATGTGGTCATTAGAGAGACTTTGATCCACCATTTATTATGTTGGTGTATGAAATACACAGTTTCATTTATGTGCTCCATCATTAATGTTGAATGAGAGGACTGGTGAATGGAAGATGAGAAAGCAGTATAAATTTTATGGAAGTGCAAGGAAATCCTGTCCTTTAAAACTGCTAGCACAGGAAGGAGTCCAGGGAGAGATGATCTAAATCTGAGTTAAGAAATTTATGGGCACTGGTGTCTGAGAAAGGGCTTAATGGCTAGACACTGTGTGCGTCATCTAATGACAACATGAGTTGAGAAGGTTTATGGTCAGTTGCAAGGGTATGCTTGTTGATCTGTGGATTGGGAGGTGCTTTCCCTTAACACGTTTTTAAGAGGGATTGTGGATTGAAATATTTATGACAAAGCAGACCGTTGGTTCTGGTAAATCTTTTCTTTCTTAACTTGAGCATGTGAAGCATGCTCTAGAGAGCATATTATGTGATCAATGGCTTATGAGTAAGATCCAGAAGAGCGAGACCCAGATTATGGAGTGGGGTTGAGGAAATTGAAAAGTTTTTATCCCGAGCTCTGTTTTTGGGTTGCTGCTTTAGATTTTACCATTATCTAGATTGATATTGCTCAGATGCTTCTTTGTACCTAAGGACTTGGTGCTTGCATATTTATTTGAAGTGCTGCCAAAGATTGAGAAGAAATTTGATAATGGTGTTCTGCTGTTGATTCCGTGTGTGTGTGTGTGTATGGATTGATTGGTGTCTAATATCAACTATCTTAAAACTACACATCACCTTAATACCATACTACATGGAAATTTATTTTACACTTTTCTGTGAAGATTATCTGAATCAAGGAAAATCCTTGTATAAAATCATGAGAACATGAAGGAAGCTTTGTCGCTGGGAGAAAAAATCATGTTTTTGGCCATGACATATTGCATTGGTGGTTGTAAACTCATAATCTCCTGACTGATCAACTTTGAATTATGACCTTCACTTTTAAATTTCAGGAGGGAAGAATGAGGGGTCAAGCTTTTGTAACGTTTTCATCAGTTGAACTTGCCCATCAGGCTCTGGTATGTATCTCATGAGTTTATATAAAACTTCTGTGTGATTTTTGAACCCTTGTTGTACAATTTTATTTATTTTTTAATAGATGCCCTTCAAGTGCTGCCTGCTGAGTGCATTCATAAAACCAGGGGCATTGAGCAACTTGATCTGACTTTCCCAATTGGGAGTGTCATGTAGATGTTTATGACAACTAGATCACACACCTTTGCTTTCTTTTGTTATATATTCTGCTAAAGCGGTAATGATATGCTGATATTTTTTAATGTGTTTGTGGTTGCAGAATCTAGTGAATGGATATGTATTCAAAGACAAACCGATGATCATACAATTTGGTCGGAATCCTTCAGCTGCCAAGCCAAATTAGACAGATTTATCATGAATAAGAGCTGTTTATACTATACAACTCATGGTTCGTGGTTTAATTACTCATTCTACATTATATTCCTTGACATGGACCTCAACCAACAAATTTGGGAATATTGTATCTGTTATGATTCTTGCCTTCTTACAGGTATCCGCATCCTCTGGCTTTAGGAAGTAGAAAATTTCATATTTCTGCGCATGGGGACGATGTGCAGAGCAAGCTGCCATGGATGGGCATTTTCAGTTGCTGCTGTCAATATTAAGCAGCTCAAATTGGAAAAGAGTAGAGGGATGGGGAGGAGGTTAGGACATGCAATGCCGACTGACTAATACTAATCTTATATACCAGCGAGAAGAAAAGGATGACCTCTTGTTTCCGGCATGCAGAAAAGTTTAAATTCACTACTTTATGATACGGAGCTTTCATTGTCTGTAAGTTTCTGGAGCATTGAGGGATGTGGAGATGGTAAATTGAAAGAGATGTTTGTGAAAGAGAAATTGAACCAAACAATAGTTGTCAATCTCTCCTGTCCTCTACTTCATCAAACGGGGTATTCGCAATTGTGCAGACTTTATGAAATGGTTATGTAAGCAGAAAATAGTGATTCTCATCTCTCTTTGTGAGAGAAGCAGACTAAAAACTGAAAATGCGTCAATAATTCTCGCAGCCGCGTGATTGCTAAGAAATTGGGTTCATGAACGAATTTGTTCTGCTAAGAGCAAGAATGTTGAGAGTGGCAGTGGATAGACCTAGTAAAGTGCTGCTACAACCCATTGGAGCTAGTTTGTCTCCCAAGTTGTAAATAGAACCGAAATCATACATTAAGCGATGCAATCAAGAGAGACACTGCATCTCAATCTCGGAGAATATTTAAAATCTTTATTTCCATCAACACGACTATACTAACGTATACACTAGTAATGCAATCAATAAAATTAATGCTAAAAAAAAAAAAGGTTTACCTACGTTTTAAAATGATAACTATATTTCTTTTTAAAATGATATTTCCCATAAAAATTTCATCTTGAGCCCACATTCTTACTTGAAGTTTCGATCCCTAAACGGATAAACCACAGAATTAAAATGCCGCAGCGCTAATGCGAGATGACTACATGTATGCATGCAAGTTGTGGAAAGCCAAGGCTCCTTGCAAGTATGCTTAGGTTGACAAGGCCATGCTTTGTTTACTTCACAAACAAAACAATAGCAGGAACAACAAAAGCATCCCTCTTTTTCCTAACCTCACAAAGGTTATTTACAACAATCAAACAAGAAGAACAAAAACTAAACCATTTGCTCTCTCTGTTACTCCAGAACCCAACAAAAACCCACCAAACAACCCTACAAGTCCACTCATTTCTACTATCCACTGGCTTATTAAACGATTCAATTCTGCTCTTCAACACCCTGCTTAGACTCTATTCTTTTGGTGATCAGCCCCACCTAGCTTTCTTGCTCTACAAACAGCTGCAAGAAGTTTACTTTCACTCTTCTTCATTGCCTCCCCCTTCATTTGATAGCTTTACCTACTTTTTCCTCGTAAATACTAGCACTAACTGTTCTTGTCCAATTCTTGGAACTCAGTTTCATAGTCGTATATTCAAAGTGGGTTTTCAATATCATGTTTATGTACAAACTGCTCTTTTAAACATGTACCTATCTAGTGGGGTTTTAGGTGATGCTGTGATTTTGTTTGATGAAATGCCCAAGAGAAATGTGGTTACTTGGAATGTGATGATTACTGGGCTGGTTAAATGGGGTAAACTTGAATTTGCTAGTTCTCTCTTTGATGAGATGCCTGAAAAGAATGTTGTTTCATGGACTGGAATAATTGATGGGTATATCAGAAACAACAAGTATAGTGAGGGTTTATCTTTGTTTCGAAGAATGGTTGTGTGTGAGGGTATAAAGCCTACTGAAATAACTATTCTTGCAATTTTACCGGCTATTTCTAATATGGGGGAGTTAAAATCTTGCAGCTTGATCCATGGTTATGCAGAGAAAAGAGGATTTAATGCTTTTGATATACGTGTTGCTAATTCAATTATAGATTGTTATTCGAAATGTGGTTGCATAGCGAGTGCCTTTAATTTTTTTGAGGATATTTCGGTGGAGAGGAAGAATTTGGTATCATGGACATCCATCATTTCCGGGTTTGCAATGCATGGGATGTGGAAGGAAGCGGTGGAATGTTTTGAAAGGATGGAGAAAGCAGGTTTGAAGCCAAATAGAGTGACATTCTTGAGTGTTTTGAATGCTTGTAGCCATGGCGGATTGGTTGATGAGGGGCTTAGGTGTTTTTACAAGATGGTGAATGAGCATGGAGTTTTGCCAGATATTAAGCATTATGGGTGTGTAGTAGACATGTTGGGGAGGACAGGGAGGCTAGAAGAAGCAGAGAAGATGGCTTTAGAGATTCCTAGTGAGATTGTTAATGCTGTGATTTGGAGGACCCTGTTGGGTGCATGTAGCTTTCATGGTAATGTTGAGATGGGTGAGAGGGTTACAAGGAAGATAATGGAGATGGAGAGAGGATACGGAGGTGACTATGTGCTTATGTATAACATCTTTGCTGGTGCTGGACGGTATGAGGATGCTGAGAGGTTGAGAAAACTGATGAACAAGCGAAATGCCTTTAAACTTCCTGGCAATAGTGTGGTGTGAATGATCGGAGAGCCAGGTGGCTCCAGAGTCTAGTGAGAATGTCTGTTGGCTTACATGTATTGATGCCAAGGAAACTGCTAACAGCTCACAAGTGTTTTAACAGGACAAACTGAGATCTTTACATAAAGTTTTTTTAACCTCTCTCGGAAGCCTAATTCTTGCTGTTTGATGCTTGTTCGGTGAAATCTCATTCAAAACCATTCCATAAAATGGGGATGACATACATGAACAAGCAGGAAACAGATGCCTGATCATGATGAGCGGTTTCAGGTATGTCAGAAATGAGATCTTTCTTGATTAAGGATAATGTGCATGTGGAAGAACATAAATTATAGGAAAGAATCGGGAAGCAAGTCTTTCTCATCATGCTTATTCGTACTTCGCAAGGGTCAGGATTTGAGAGCTGTGGAACGTAACTGAAATTAGAAGAGTGTTGATATATTCATTCCCGAGGTAAAAGTCACGTAATATTGACTTCCTACCACTGTATCCAAACAGATCTAAGTATGGGAAAATCATTTCTGAGTTCTACTTTCATTGGCCAGTACTGTACTAATCATGCTTCAATCAATTGCATTTTGCATGCATGACAATGAATAACATGGTTACTTGTTTGCCACCCAACATTCCATGTGTTCGAAAGATTTTGTCCTGAACTTCTGAAGCCAGGTGTAAAATGAAGAAAATGAACTGCACAGATTATATCATAATCTGAGAGTTAACAAACAAGATCTTAAATCAGTATCTGGGATGGGTAAAAAAAAAAACCAAGTACTTTCCATTTAATAGCATAATTTGACTTAATTTTACATTTCCAAATGATCGATATTGCAATTTGAACACATGGTATCGAAATGTTGCTATGATGGCGCTATTTTGCTTCATGCTTGAGCATTATTATCAATTCTATTAGCGATTTAAAATCATTTTTTCGTTCTTAATGACCTAAGCATGTTGTTAAGATGCCTCTGTATATGGAATCGATAACTAAAAAGTTTAAATTTCGAGGCAATCCACTCGAGAGTTGCTAAGTTATGATATATTCCTATTACTACACAATTATAGTAATAAAAAAAAGCTTTTTGCCACCCCGTTCAAAATTATTATCAGTGTCGACAGACTTCTAAACAATTATCTGGTATTGAATTACTGCGTGAACATCATGTCTGGAGAAAGAATCTAAGTTCATAAACAATTTTTATTTTTATTTTTTCATCTATGAATTTGAGTTCCCTTTTCAATGGTATGTGTTATTAAGTTGCCATTTGCTTGATTCCAGAATTAGTAGTATAATTATGTATTTGAATTGCAATAAGGCTTGAAAGTATAACTTATTAGCTTAGAGTGATCATCATTGTGAATAATTAGCTTGTAATTAGTCTCCTAACTTGTCTGGCAAACTCTAGTTGGGGGGGTTTGCAAGTTAATTTCAACTCACTGAATTTCCTTTAATTATCATAAGAGAAAATATTTTTTTTTCAAAAAAGGATTATTAGAATAAATAACAGAGCATATTTAGTAATTAAACCAATCCAGAATAAATAAATTTCAATTCACTTAATTTCCTTTTATCGTAAGTGAAAAGATTAAAAAAATAATAATTGTTAGAATAAATAGTAAAGCATATTTAATAATTAACTCAATCTAGAATGAATAAATTCAATATTTGACATTGCTGTATGAATCACTACTAGATTGTTGCCATGCTATTTTACGGCTCAAATCAATTTTGAGTGCAAAAAGAAAGGCAGGCACGCTACTAACATATTCTCCAGTAATAAAAATAAAATGTGAGGGTTACTCCCATACGATTAAGTTAGCTTCATAAATTTAAAAATAATTTAGTTATTTAAAAAAATAAAATAAAATAAATATTTGTAAAATTAATTATCAACAAAATAAAAAAACATTTATCAAAGACTGTGATAATTAAAAAAAATAAAAATTAATTTAAAATTAAAAGATGAAATTAAAAATGTATATTATTTTAAAAAATTGAATAAAAGAAAAAAGGCCCAAGTGCCCAAAACAAAATCCATGTACCTCGGCCTTAATAAGAAAAGTCCAAGAACACACGATAATTTTTCTTTTCTTTGTATAAGGGGTGGAGTTGCACCCCCCAATTTTTCACTTGAAAAGAAATATAGTAAGCAATGTGTAGTATGCTCTATCCAAATTCTAGCAACCAGAGGCTAGGGGTGTTTCATACCTAAAAACTTATTTAAAATCATTTGTTGATCCAAAAACACAAAGAAAAAATAGTAGAAACCTAAATAAATCTATTTTAGTCTTTAAAAAAACCTAAAAAAAATTTAAAAATAAAAAAATTAACTTAAAATCCAAAAACTTTTTAAGATCAAATCTACTATCTCAAGAAATTTCAAGGTGAAATTATACCTTTTAGAATTATCATTATCAAATAAAACTCATTAATATCAATATTAATTATTTTAATAGTTAGAATCAATATCAACAAATATTTTTTCTCTCAACTATAAGAATTTAATGACTTTCTCTCTCCAACCTCAAATCATGAGAAAATTAAAAGAAATGAAGTTTTGGATAAAAAAAAGTTTTAAAAAAACTATAGGAACTAAAAATGGATTAATTGGATTAATTGTAAAGTAAGAGGATAAAAGTTAATATCTTGAGTTAATTTCAAAACTATCACCAAGTTTCTCTTTGTTCTTTTAGTTTGGTTCTTTATTTCTTTTTTCATTTTTTTTTCTAATAGATTGGAAGCAATTTCCCTTCAATTTAACCATGAAAGAACCAAATCGTGAGGAAAAAATATTTGAGGATCAAAATGGCCAAACAAAATCACTGCTCCAATATTCTACAGTAAAAATGTATGAGCATAAACATTATTTTTTTTATACATAAAAGCATGCGCTCGTTTAGTTCTTTTGTAATTCAGCAATTCTTTAATTTGTTACAGAATTTTCCATGATCAAGGCAGTAAAAAAAAAAAAAAAAGCCTAGATAGAGTTACTTTATCACATCATTTATAGAGTAAGGCCGTAAAAAACAAGATATATATATATATATATATATATATATATATATATATATATATTTGACATTGGTGTTATCAACCGGACAGGCCTCGCTTTAAGAGCCGGCAAGAGAAAACATATTTCCTAATATTAGAATTGGATTTTCTGAGGTTTTTGACTATATTAATTTAAACAAAAGATTGGGATTGGCATGTATAATCGTGCTCCATTTTCTCCCTCAAATTGTTTAATATATTGGTTAAGGGATTATACATCTTCTTGGTAATTAGGATTTCAAAAACTTGGTCAGATTATGGTAAATAAAAGTTTCATGAATATTCCTCTTGTTTTAATATTTATAATCGTTTTTAATTAAATGGTACATGGATTTAGTTTCAGTGTGCAAAAATACTACTAAAATTAATACTCATTACCTTGAAAAAAATAGAAAAGAAATGAAAAAAGAATACCAAGAAGAGATACATGAGGCAGATATTCCTCCCCCACAGGACGGCTCATACAAGTGATATTCTCTTGGCTTTAATCCCATCAAAACCATCTACGAAAACATGAGTAAGACACACAAAACAGCTTAATATGAACTCAAACAAAGCTTAAAAGCGCGCATATTTAACTTGTAATAGATGTTATCACCCGAAGAAACAAACAAAAGGACCACCATTTTCTGGCCAGTTTTTCCACACCATTCATCTGATTATTTTAATCGTTTGGTGCCTAGTACGTATAACCCAAAGCTGTTTATAGTACCGACCGCTGCCGGTGGTGTTATTTCGAGATTTTCTATGCATTTCCTAAAGAAAGTCAACTATAAATAGGATCCTATGTTTCCCTTATAATACCAAACCCACATTCGAGCAGACATTAGAAATCAAACATTGTCTCTTTACAATTAAAGTAGCAGATCTCCAATGGCTTCTAGTCATTTTATTGCCTTTGCCCTTGTCACAATTATTCTTCCCACGCTCACCATGGCAGCTGAACACATTGTTGGTGATGACAAAGGGTGGACTGTTAATTTTAACTACACAACTTGGGCTAGTGGCAAAGTATTTCATGTTGGTGACACACTAGGTAAACTTAATTATCCATATCAATTTAGTTTATATTTCGTCACAATATCTATATATATTTTCATGGTTTTTTAAAAGTTTGCTAGCTCTTTAAAGGGAAAAAAAAGTGGGGTTTTTGATGCTAATGATCACTTGTTTGCAGTGTTCAAGTACCAGCCACCACACAATCTCTACAAGGTGGATGGCAACGGCTTTAAGAACTGTGTAGCTTCCGGAGAACCTCTGACCAGTGGAAATGACATAATAACACTAGGCAGCACAGGAAAGAAATGGTACATTTGTGGGTTTGGAAATCATTGTTCCGAGCTTGGCCAGAAGCTAGTCATTAACGTGGAAGCTGAAGCTCCAGCACCTACTCCAACACCTACTCCAAAACCTAATGCTGCTTATGGACTTGCTGCATCAGGCTATCAGATTATTGTGGCAGCAGTGGCTGTGGTCGCAGGAATGATCGTGGCATGATATACCACTAATATGCATGATATATTTTCCCTGTTCTTGCCTAAAAATGATTAAGCGTTCCACGAGTCTGGCATTTTATCATTTTAGTGCAGCATGGTTAAACCTTAATTAATTAATAAGCTGCGTTTTATTGCTTGTTTCGAGTGTTTATAGTTGATGGAAATTTGCTGATTTATAATTGAGTGTTTCACTTTATAGAGTTTATTCATGTACTCCTATATATAATAGCAAACAAAATATCAAATATAAATATTTGATTATTCGATTAAAATATTTTTTTATGTAATGATTCTAAATCTTTTAGTTTTATTTTTTCAATGAGTTTCAGACACATTTATTCACTTAGGTACAGGTTTGTTTATTTTCCTATATATATATATATATATTAGTGGATATCATTTCAAACTCGTTTCTAAGAGATATATAGGATTCCTCGCTCGTATGCTGAACTCATCAAACAGACATGCAGGCTATAGCAACAATTAGGATTTTTTCATGAATAATCAGTTGTTTAATTAAATATTTAGTCCCTTGTTGAGCAAATCGTATGCGCTTGACGTACGTACCTAAAAAGATTGCAACACAATCGCGTAACAGTCCTGGCGATTGAGTTGTGGCTAATGCCGGCAAGCAGAAAATATATCTGAAGCACAACAAAGGAGCAGATTTATTTATTAAAAAAAAAGAGTTGATTTTATTTAATATCTAATAGATTGTTCATCTTTACACACTTTGATCTAGAATTACGATTATAAGGATCTTTATTCTAAAGAATCCAGTAAGATGGCCGAAATCCCTCCAACTGAACATTAATGATAACCTAAAGATGTACTAGAAATTGACTGGCTAATCTTTATTTTGCCTTGAAACCCTCTTCAAAGATGTGTTCTCGACAATGGATGCATGCCCATCTTCCATTTATCTAGAAGTACTCCTTGATAATCCTTAAGAATTGATCAAAAAAAGCAGTTGAGTGAGGAATCCGAATTGCCCCTTCAATCTTGTAGTCAAGATCTTGATGCTGCGATCGCCTAAGCAGTTCTTGGAATACTGGATTGGATAGGTATTTCACTGGAACTTCGTATCGTTTACCTTCTTCTCCCACAAACATAGCTACGTACCCTCTTCGCGTCTTCGCACTCCCAATCACTGCAAGGGAGCCTTTGAAATCCTTCTCGAAGAACTTGTTGACAAGAGAACCTAATCTTTCTTGCATGTTTCTTGATGAATACATGATCGCTGGCTTTGAATCTCCAATAGATGCTTTGATGGAATAATCTTTTCTTGTTAGCAAAGAAGATGTTATCAGATGATCAATGGCAGAAAGAAGCCTGAAAGAAGCAAGTAACCAGCAATCGATAATAGATACAAGGCTCGACTCCTCATACTTGAATATATAGACCTATGTGGAATCCATATGATAAATAGAATCCTTGGAGAAAAGTGGAAAGTATTGATCAAGAGAATTAATCAGTCGGTCGAGTATTTTAATTAATTCAAAGAGTTCAGATGCCAAAATATACTAGAATTTGAATGCTTATTGTATAGTTAATTTAGAGCGGGCTTTAAATGCTCTTCTTTTTGCAAAGTGTAATCGGGGGGCCTCTGTGCATGCCCATCATGCTGAGCTGCTGGGGAGGCATCCGAAAGTCCGTCAGCAGAAAGTTTGCTGTAACTAAATCAGTCCAAAAAATCGAATTTTCTTTCTTAAATGATTGAAAAATACAAATCAAGCATAATTTACATGCTAGGGAAAAATTTAATTTCCTTTCGAACAAGGAAATTAAAACACCATGGCTGACATGCAATTTTTACAAGTCTTTCACTCTCCGACAAAATCTTTTATAACGTATCTCTCTTGTGTAGACTGTCAAGAACATCATTAGTGAATACTTGATTTTCTTAAAATGATTAATATACCTTCTTCATTAATGTTTATTACATTCCATCTTAAAATACCCTCTTTGTTAATTTAGCAAAACCCTTTTATTTATGTTAAGCTCAGCTTAACAAGATTAGAAAGAATAGAAAGAAAAGAGAATACAAATTGAGAAAGAACAGAACAAGAGAGAGCAGAGGAGAATGAGCAGAGATCGAGAATAATATTCTGTATTTTTGTTTCCCCCACACGTTTCCATACACCAGTTTATATACCAGCTTTTATTCTTCTACTAACTGTAACTATATTCAAGCCTACTGACTCTAACTACTTAACTAACTCAACTGCTTTTCTAACTTCCAGCTAACAGAATTCCACCAGACTAACCGTTATTCTTTCAGCGCTGTTGTTGCTTCTTGCTGCTCTCCTTCCAGCCTTCATCATGTCTCCTGGTTCGTAACAATTTACTCAAGAAATTCTGGCGACAGAACACTACAACATGGATGTAGAATAAGCTGAAAAATGCCAAGTTTAAATAAGATTTTTCAGACACTTGTTCTTTGCCATTCACACTCCGACAAAATCATGTTTGAACAGAACATACGTGGGAAAAAAATATATTCAAGATAGAAACTAAATGCCGAAATTGTTGAAAAGGCGAGGTTCTGGACCAATGATGGATATTCTGGCACATTTAAAAAATATCATGTTACACGACATGATGGATTTGCTCGGGGGATAGTTAATTATATATAAGATAGGTGACAAAAAAAAATTTAAAAAATGAAAAAATTAGATCGATTGCATCTAATAAGATGACGTCATGTAATTATATGATATACAACAAAACAAAAAATGAAACAAATAAAAAATAAAAAAGAAAAAATAAAAAAGAAAATCATAACATGCATAAAAGATCTCTAGCTAAAATAAAATATATAAAACTCAATTTTCAAATTAATAAAATAAAAAAAACTATTCAAGTCAATCCAAACTAACTTCTAAAAAAACTATTAAAGCCTAAACATATAGATTAGATATTTAGATAATTTATGGTTTATAATAACCTAACTTTAAAATAATTATATAAAATAAAAAAGAACATTTAATGTTAGATAATTTTCATATAAATTTCAAATAACTCTAAATCTATTTAATAGGATCTTTGAAACTCCATGAAAATTTTAAATTAATTATTTCATTTGCGTGTATGTGTTTCAGGAAACCCAATAGTAATATAAGAATCATCACTAGATAATTAGAGTTGTCGATTGCATGTTTTTATTGTTACTGGAGTTCATTACGAGTTAAATTTATGTGAATATATTTTTCTCAAGGTTTGTTTTTAAAGGACTTTGGGTACTGTCCAGTCAGTGCTAGATGAATTTTTAGATCTAGGCAAAATCTATCATTGAAATAAAAAAATTGTTTTTTAATGGAAGCAACGCAACTAGTGACAATACCAGCACTGCTATTGGATAAATATAAATTTATAGGATATACAAAAAAAAATTATTGGATATTGTTAACACCATCCTGTCGAGAATCATAAATTGATATTCAAATAGAACTTGAGCTTGAGACTATAATATTGGATGTTTAGTATAAAAGTTTAATAAATATAAGAATTCTATAAATATAGTAAAGTTTAATAACCATAAGAATTCTGTAAATATAAATATAGTAGGACACATAATGCACTACTAAGATATGAATTTCTCATGAAAATTGATATGAATTTCTCATGAAAATTAAAAATAACAAGTTATTTATATTTTATGAGCCTACTAATTATATGAAATTAATATTTGATATTGATTTTAAGAATGACTAGATATATATTAGGAGAAGCCATAAAATCTAAAGTAGATTTCATATGAATTAGTTGATTCATCAAAAAGGATAAAATTTATTGGAAATAAATGAATTCTTAATAGACAAATTGATATGAATGAAAATATACAAACATTTAAAATTAAACTGGTTACTAAAGGTTACAAACAAATACAAATATCAAAATTTATCAGAAGGATAACAGTGACTTTCTTGCAGGTTTAGATAATGTGTTTGATAAGATTCATAGTGATTTCCTACGGATTAAACCTAGGACTTGCTAAGGTCCAGCACGCCTGCGCAAATGCCCAACTTAACCACGCCACTGTCCAGCAATGGCAGTGGGCTGAATTTGCTGCACGTGCCATGTTGTCCTCCATTGGTGGATGCTACTTATAGTAGAGTAGCAAATCGAGGAATTGAACAAATTAAGAAAATTAGAAAATTATTTATATAATCTATGGATCATTAAGCATTTCTAATAATTTATTTTATTCTATTTTCTTATATCTTGTTGTATAATTATATAAACTCTATTAAAAAATAGTCTCACCCTAAAATCTTAAATTGATAGGAAAATTTCTATATATAATTTATATAATTCTTAAACAATCTCTACATAAATTTAAATGTAAAACATATATCAAATAATCAAGTAATATAATCCCCTTCTATTTTTTTTTTAAAAAGTCTGATTCACTCAAATAGTCCATAGGGTCTTGATTACAAATTAACACTAAGTCAAACTTTATTTATATATATATATGCGCGCCCACACTCTTAAAAGTTAATTTCTGATAAGGGAAACAAGGCACGGAACCGAATATATGATATAACAATATATAGGTACCTAAAAGGATATATTATGGATCAATTAGCTTTCAATATTTCAGATTCAGAAGATAGAAGAATCTGGGCTAGAAGTATATATTATGATACAACTAGCCTTCAACATGACCACAATGAAAGTACTTGTATGCATAAGCTCCAAAAGCCAGTACCACAGCAAGCACTCCTGCAACTTGTAGAGCTAACTTGGTATTCATCTCTAGTGTCGAACTTGAACTCTCTATGTGTAACAAGTAACTTGATGGCATACTTTCACTTCTTGTAATACTTTCAGTGCTGCCTGGTTTTGCAGGAAATGCAGTTGTTTGCTTAGGCAGTATTATTTGAAGAATATCACCAGAAAACTTAGCCCGAATTTCATCTGTTTTACAATTCTTTGGGATCTTGATTTCCTTACGAAAGCGTCTCCGGAGAGTACCATCTATAGGTCGCTCTCCAGTAATTTTCACAATACCAGGTTCCTCTACTTGGACCCTCAGGTGTTGTTTTTTGAATCCTATATACAGAAGAAAAAGTAAATCGTGAAACAATTTAATTACTTGTTTTCTTCATGATAAATTGGAGGGAATACCAAATGAATTAAGTACCTCGTAGATGGATCTCAAGTATCTCATGTTCATCCTTTTTCCACTGGCAAAAGGGCTCAAAATCACCATCAAACAGCTTTAAGGTTTCTTCATTCATGGTTTCCATTTGAAGGCTTCTTTGGTTTTCTCCAAGGTTGTCCTTGGATAAAGGAGATTGAAGATGATGAGAATTCTTAATTAACTAAATGAATTAAGCTGTTATATATACGTTGTTTTTGACACATACATGAAAGGCAAATTAGAGGTTCCTTGTGGGTTTCATTTTGGAAAAGAATAGATTCATTTTTCTGTTTCCAAGGAAGTCATCTGCTTGAATTATCTTTGGGTATACCTTCCCCTGCATTTAACCTTTTCTATCTTCACTACCGTCTGCTCTTTATTAAGATTCGTTTTAACTCACCGTCTGCAAATTTCTGAGGGTTAAGTGAAATTAATTTAGGAGGTCAGAAGATTAAATTTAGTTTCTTCACTACATTAACAACAATTATCAGATAATTGACTGTTCAAACCATGGAATTTTTCATTCGAAGTTAATAAGTCTTCAATTGCTTGCAATAAAAAGGAAACCAGAAACAAATAAAAGCCTTTAAAATCTGTCATCATTAATGAGAATTTGGAGGACATACATCAAGAATTCCACTGAGATCAAAGGGTAATTCCTAGTTGAGAGGAACAAAATGAACTTAAATTTTTTTTTTAAAAAAAGATTAGAAACAAGTACAATTATAATATATCAGTAACATCAGAATCTAATCTTCATTTCTTGTGTGTTTTTTATCTGTGCTTGTTCAAAAATAAATACCTTCAGCATTGTGAATGAAGTCAGTTTTTTTTGTCAGGCTTATTAATCTTCATCTACCAAAATAGACGATGAAAAGTATATGCCAAATTCCTTAAACTACTCCAATAAAAACCAAGGTCTACAAAGCTTCTTCTGCATATTTCCAGTTGCAAGCACACGTTATTCACGCAGTAGGTTAATTCATTGGTGACGTAACCAAGTAATTTTATGGAAGATTAATTGCAAGGAAAAGAATCGGTGCGGTTCATGAATAAGAAGAAGACTATATTTATATTATGTACAAT